AGAGAGAGAGAGAGAGAGAGAGAGAGAGAGAGAGAGAGAGAGAGCATGTTCACAGATTGCTGTGTGTCTTAATAATCACTGCAGAAAATATCTTAGTGCAAAGGCCAAATTTCAAGTTAATAATTGCTTCAGTACACACATCTGAAAGTTTCTGTGTTTTAAACGGAGAAGCAGCATAACTGCTACTGTGCTAAAGTTTTGCTGATTGAGCACCTGGTCAGGAGCGTTTATAAATCCTGCAGTCCAAGGATCACAACCTTCGTAATGTGCGTACATGACCAAACCAGAGAACACAGCGCAAACCAAGATCACCCACAGTCCAAGCAGGTTAAGGTACAGAGCTCTGGAAGAATGAATAAAAAAATGGAGCTTAAATTACAAGGAAGGAGCAAACATATTTTTTGCAAGGAAAGAAAACTAGCTCAGTTTCTAAAATAATAGCCTTTTATAAAAATCGTAACATTTTATCTTCTTAGCTACAATGAAACACAGTTTAGGATTGTATTTATTGTGGTCAAAGCCCCACTGATACGTACCCAGGAATCGAGATGATGGACCTGCCTACAATGACCTGAGGTGTGCCGTGGTCACTATGGTCAGTATGCAAAATAAGGGGGCAAAAACAAACTATAGGTTAAAATACTGGATCTATTGACAAAACATCACGAGAGGAGTTTACCAAAAGCCTGAGCCATCTCCATCTGAGGGTCAGGTACATATCTGGTGTAGCACCCCGAATTCCACCTACCCGGCTGTTTAATAATAGGCACCGGAATGCCATTGCTAGATGCGGCTGAGGCTGCCCCAATTCTAAATGAAGGCCCCGAATATTGATCAGGGTTGAGACCCATGCTGCAGATAAGAATCCAAATATGTCTCAAAAATTGGGAGGCGCTAAGGGGACCGCCTGACAAAAGGTAACAAGGGACTATCAGGAGAGTGATGCTCAAGGGCTGCAGCCTTTTGTGTCGTATAAAGTTATAAAGTAAATAATTGCATGGCAGAGCAGTGATCATTGCCACTTTCACATTTTTGTCTTGGATTCCATTTTCCATGCATCTATCATACTTGGATTGATGCTGAGCAGGTGCTGCCATATCCCACCACTAACACACAGCCCTTGTGAATGACATGTTCCCATCAAATACTTTTCATACTGTTTATTAACTTCAAACCTGACTTCCTTTAAAGAGGAACTTTACCCATATTGTCAAAATAACAACAAAGGCACCTTTAGAAATGTTTAGCAATGACAGTCTACAAACAGATACTTCTAGATAATTGCCAGCTTTTTATTCTTTACATACCTTTTTTTATGCCCCATTCTTCTCACAGTGGCCATTTTTACTAAGAGCAGATTAATCCATCTCCACTTCTTGGAACTCTGGCACATGTGACCAGGCACATTTTAGGGGAGGCAAATGCCTTTGTGTCCTTTCCGGGATGCAATGTTTGGGCATGGTTACATATTTTGTGCCAAAGTGGACCAGGAAGTGGAAATAATATGCAAGTAAAATAGAAATATGTTTGTTTAGCTAATGTATGTAAGATGATTTCATATCAGCATGCAGAGCTGTATGCTGATATGATTTTTAGTCAAAGGGTGTAAAGGTCCACTTTAAGTAGACTGAAGCAGATCACCCACAATGACCAATGACACAGATTTTGAAAGCCTCTTTTCACATCTGCTGTGTTGCTTATATTAAGAAACTTTTGAGATCCATCAAGCCAACTACACCATGGTTTTGCACATTTGCCATATGCTACTAAGTAGACTAACTTCAGCTACCAGACCAGCCAAACCATATACTATAAGGATCCAAAATATTTCTCAACTATTGAGTAGGAATGGACCTCTCTCATTCACAAACATAGGATTCCTTAGTAGTGTCAAGACCATTATATAATGGGGATCCTAAATATTTCCCAGCTCATGAATAGAAATGGACTTCTTCCTGCTTTAAGCAGCATCATGGGCCTGAAAAATTCTTGTATGCACATCTACACGACCTTGGGTGCCCATAATATTTCATTTTCACAGTATATATATATACAGCACAGTGACTTAGTGGTTAGCACCTCTGCCTTGCAGCACTGGGGGTCCCCAGTTTGAATCCCGGTCAGGATGCTATCTGGGAGTTTGCATGTTCTCCCTGTGCTTCATGGTTCCCTCCCACACTCCAAACACATGCTGGAAGGTCAATTGGCTCCTGTCTAAGTTGGCCCTCATATGTATGCATGTGCAACAGGGACCTTAGATTGTAAGCACCTTGAGGACAGGGACTGATGTGAATGTGCAGTATGCAAAGCATTACATAAATTGTCAGCGCTATGTAAATACCTTTAAGGTTTATTTGTATATTTGTCAAGTGAGCAGAATCTAATCTAGACAGAAAATTACAGATGCAGCAGAAAGAGCTCATTAAACTAAGATAAGAACATACCCATTATCTGGAAATAAAGCAATACATGCTTTATGGGATCTATTCACTAGATCTATTCACAAGAGATAATCCACACCTGTAAATCATTTTTTCTATTCTAGACTAGTGTTACTGTGGTCTACATGTGTAATAAGTGCTACTTATGACGTGTTAGCAAGATTGTAACATCACATACACACAAACTGTTATCATGCTGTGTAGAAAGGCTTCTAGAAGAAAGGCCACAAGCTTTATTAACCAAAGACTATAGATGCAAATGTTTCTTAAAATCCACCTATGTGACTATTTTCCTGGTTTGGCTCCACAAACCTGTTATTCATTTTCCCAATATTAGTTTTCAAAAGTGTTCATCTAGCCAAACCTGACCATTAAATAATTGAATTGCCTTAAATAAACCCCTTCAAGAAAAAAACCCTTCAAATTGATAATAATGTTGTATTAAGTTGCTGTAAGCTATTTCAAATGCTTTTTAATTCACTTACAATGGATGCCGCTCCTTTATGTTTAAAAGTTTTGGCTTCATGCAAAATCAGCTGGTCCTCTGAGCACTGACCCTGATATCAGTTTTTTTCCATTGCAGGGTCCTATGGAGCCACCCTTTTGTGCAAGTAAGCTGTGTGTGCCTCTACAAGCATATAGGCACAGCAGGGCAATCCACACCCCTCCTCCCTGCTTTTCCTTGCTCCTTCCATCTTTCTCCAAGCTAGTAGATGGACAGCTGCCGGAGACTGTCCTTTTTGATGTTATACTGTACAGGAAGTTCAGGGAATCTGAGCTGAGAGGGTTGGAGCCAGCTAATCCAAAACATGATGACTATAAGAAGTTGGGCAGATATTTAAATACTTTGCTGGGTAATGTATATTTGTAAGATTATTAAAATAGGGATATTGTTTTTGTAGTTTTCTGTTTGACAAGTAACAGCACTAGCTGCTAACAATAACAAAGTAAAGCATTTTGGTGCGGCATGAGGAATCTTACATCAAAACGTATTTTGTGAAAATTATTCTCATAGCATATGATTGAATAGGTTACAGGTCACTAAGGTACATTTTGTCATGCGGTTTCAGCAGATTTCAGTAATTTCATTCAACTTACAGTTTTGCGTGTTTTTCTGATTTGCAGGAAATGCATCTCTGGATAGTTGACTGGTTGACCCCATAAATGCCCAGCCATGTAAATGTTCCTCCCACTGCAATGGTCCAGAAGGTATGTCTTCTTAGTGGATCTACGCTAAAACTGTAAAAAAAAATATAATGAATGGAAATTCAAATGTAGCATTTTTTTATATCTGTTTAATAAAAGCAAAAATTACCCATTGATCCTGCCAAATATTCAGTAAGCTTGTAACTTCCTATGCTGTCTGCTTCTGCTAACTGGAATCTCAAACAGTGCTATCAACCCCGCCCGGTTTATCTCTGCGAACAACTCCTCTTATGTTATAGAGATGAAGAGGAACAGAGAGGGAGAGGGGGGGGGGAGAGGGGGACGAGAGAGAGAAGGGAAGAGGGGGAGAGAGAGGGACAGAGAGAGAGAGGGAGAGAGGGAGGGGGAGAGAGACAGAGAGAGGAACAGAGGAAGAGGAGGGAGAGAGTGAGAGTGGGGGATAGAGAGAGGGGAAAAAGGTGAGGGGAGAGAGCGAGAGAGATGGGAAGGGAGAGAGAAAGAGAGAGGGTTGGGAGAGAGAGAGAGGGTGAGGGAGGGAGAGAAGGAGAGGGGTAGAGGGGGAGAGGGAGGGGAGAGAGAAAGAAAGAGAGAGAGAGAAAGAAAGAGAGAGAGAGAAAGAGAGAGAGAGAGAGGTTTTGTAAATACTTCCAGTCCTACATTAAAAATGTTCCTCCATAATACAGTACAGAACATGAATGTTGTCACCTTAGGACATAAAGTATGTTAGCTGGATAAACAGGTGAAAATAAACAGAAAAAAGGTCTCATAAAAAGAAAACAAACCTTCTCTATAAGGACTTCTACACTGCAATATATTACCGTTCTGTTCTTGGGTTTACATACATTTTTGCAAGTTAAAGTGTATGTCATTTTATTTCTTTAGCTATGGATACAATGTGAAAGGGAATGACGGAAAATCCATTATTTCCAAGTTTTCACAGGAAGTGATGATGAATCGTTTACTGTGTAAACATGTTTTGGTGATTACTGTCCAAAAGGGGAGATCCCCTTACTTTGGAGTGATCTCCTCTTAGTTCCTGCCTGGACAGGAAGAGAAAGAAAGTTTCCCTGGTGGGTCACAGACAAATAAAATTCGACAGAGGTGTTTATCATTCCTACATTATCCAAAACTCTCCCCATGCAATTCACACTACCAACTCGAGACATCAAATCAATGGGCAACATGAACCAGGAGTAATGGACTCTATTCTGGGCCATTATTTATTTCTCCTCTTAGTCAGTGGGTCAGTAGCTTTTCTCCATAGGTCCTTATAGAAAAGCCCCCACACTGAAGACTTACATATAGATGGTTTCTCCATTAGGGTTTGTAGAGAAACTTCAGATTTTCAACTACTTTATTCAGGAATGAGAGCATTTAATTAAAGTAAAACTGATTTCTGCATTTTTATCTCCTCTGAAACACCATTGTCTTGCTTACCATACATTCATTTAAATATGTTATAGTGATTATACGGGAAATTGTTCATTTACATTTCTTCTTTTAGTATTTATTTTGTTTAGCTTTACTTTTTAGACCTTTAGAAAATAATTATCCTTGCTAGATATTTACTCAACAATGTCCAAACGTGAACCGTTCATAGCTGTCTGCCATATTTGGCTTGGACCTCCATTTTGGATTGTGCCTTCAACAAGAACCGATAAAAATCCAACGACCATCACAATCATCTGAAAAGCATCTGTCCATACAACCGCTTTGAGTCCTCCCTAGATTGAAAGAATAGCACCAATTACACAACAAGAGCAATGTAGTTTCAGGTCAGAAACCACAGAGGAAAAATTAGATTATTGGCAAGTAAGGTACTGTATTCAAATAGTAATAAAGTAACCTGTGCCTCAATATAAAAAAAAACATAAAAATCAGCTTGCAGATCAGATAATATACACATATAGAAAAAGAAAATACACAATAAATTGTGGTGCACAAATGACAGTGTTTGCTTAATGGAAAACGAGTAAGCTGCTATAGAGTCTTTGCTTCATAAGAAACAAACACACTGCTGCAATCCCAGGAAACCTGGTAGAGGTGAGAGACGTGGAATACCATAACCTGCCCTGACAAATGCTGCATCAAAGAGTAGGGGATATATGGCGAGATTGGAATAATGTATAAAGATATCTGGCTACCTTGCCTGACTTACAATAATCGTACATAGACCTCTTATACCACATGGAGTCATAAAATCTGGTAAACAGCTTCATTCATTTTTGGGAAGAGGCAATTATACTATTTGGTGCAATTGAATACACTAAATGCTCATCTTACGAAGAGACGTTTCTTGTACAGTGGTTTACTTGTTTCTTATTAAGCAAAGAGCCTGTAGTAAGCTACTGTATAGATTGGGTGAATTATTGTTATCGGTGGCATAATTGCATTTGCAGCCTGGATTCAGGTACGAGTCTCTCCTTGAGAGGTAGTGCTGGCTCTTTCCTTGTAAAAGCCACATATATCTCTAGTTTTTGAACTTTATTTCACCAAATATGTGCAATCTAAATACTTTTACATAGCAGTAGTTGGTGTGAAGGAAATAGGTAACAGTTACTACTTGCATACATGTTTAGATTAGATCCCCTCCATGTTGGCCATTTAATATTTACAAAGGATTTTGAGTAAGATAGTGATCTGCTTCCACTCATGGCCATGGTTTTCCATTGATCAGTCAATAACATAACCTAATCGTTTAGATATTTTGCCCACGTATTCAATTCGTAAAGCTTGACTCCAGGCAGATTTAATTGTGACATAAGTACCTGAATTTAACTTTTTGTCTAGCTCCTTGTAATTTACTGAGCGGCTGAGCTTGTATTGGGACAGGGAAGGGCAGTGCTAGGAGCCAATCAGTTATGCTATGTGTTGATAAGGAAAAAGCTGACTGGAGGAGAATGCTGAGTGGGCAGAAAGATAAACTTAATAGTTTGCTGCTGCTTCTTCACTGTCCAATTACAGGTTAGGGTGGGGAGCCTACCTAGCTGTATTGCTTTATTGCAGTAGACAAAAGTCAGATCACTAACCTAGCTGTGCTATCTGACTGTGCTATCTGTGTAAATATTACGACTAGATGGACATACATTCAAATGCTTTAGAAAATAAAACAGTGCCCTTATGTGTATGTCATCTCTGTGCTCAGCTGTGTAACTGAAGTTCAATGTTAAGTTATGTATGGCAGCTTGGTATCACATCTCCTGTCTGATTTTGGACAAAATTGCATCTATTTCTCACCAACTCCATTTTAAAAGTTTATTCTTTCATGCACTACCTAACTACTGTACTTTTCTCTAGGGTGCCATACCCTGCATGGCACCTCTCTTTGAAAAACATATGAGATGGGCCTGCAGGAAATTATGTGGTCATTAAAAGGCATTCACTTCATACCGTCACCAGTTTTCCCCTTTCTCTCATGTGATGGAAACATAAGTAATTTTACTTTATAAACACTGAACCAATAAATACATTTGTAGAGCATGGGTCCCCTTTAATATGATACAGAAGAAAAACCAAATACTTACCAATGTGCAGTAGAAGGTGCAGACAATACCAGTGGCAAACACAGATCCCCACAGATTAAATCCAGTCACTGTAAAAAAAAAATCATAGGTATCTAAACACCATTGTAAAACCACATGAGAATGGCAATGGTGTTGAGCAGTGCAGTCATATGCTCCGCATGAATGCGCCTCATTCATCTGTCTTACCGAACTTACCGGAGTCAGATGTAAGGAGACAATTTGGAATGTTCTAAAACATTTATTGTTTTGAAAACCTTCTGCCTATTTATATATGAATGGTACAATGATTAGTGGTATATATACAGTATTTAGAGTATACAGCACCTTTTTAGCTTTGTGTAAAAAACTACCAGTGTTAGGCTTCCAGCACAGAAAACTAGCTTTGGATCTAAGTCTGCTTTAAGCAGGATCGGGCAAAGACCAAGCTGGGGAATGCACACAATGATCTATAAAAAAGGCCAACAAGGACACTTATCAGCCAGATCTAGGGAAGGGAGTGTAGAAACTGTGTAGGAAAATGTGTGATTGTTTGTCAGAAACAAAAAAAAAACTGCTGTTTATGACCTCCCAGCCTAGGCAGACTAGATCATATGGCCTCCAGTAACCATTTATCATTACAGACTGTGGAGTCTATCATTTTTAGTCATACAGGCCCTGCCTAGTAGACCTGTATTAAGACAAGAGGAACAGCAAGGTGCAGAATTTCCAGAGGCTGTGTATGGAATGTGCAAATGTGGTTGACCCACATAGATAATTACAAACCATATACATTAACTAACACTGATAAAGCTATTTACATTTAAAGGAAAAGTATTGGGAGAGTAAACATACTCATGCCTCTATAGTATTTGGAGCCAGCATGGGACACTGCAGCTCTCTCACACCAGCTCCATAGATCAAGAGCTGAGGAGTTATGCAATCTCTGACCACTCAGCTTGTGGTCTTTTCCTTGCAGAGAGCAGTGACAATCAGTCATCACTCCCCACAGGGATTGCCCTCTCTGTTCCTCCAGCACTCATTGCAGGGACAGACAAGGGAGGAGGTGGGCACAGCTGCCTTTGGGTAGGAGGCAGCACCAGCTGTCAATCAGGCAGCCAGGTGGATTCCAAAAATATTGTTGGGATTCTTCTGAGCTGCAGTGCAGCTCTGCACTGCCAGCATATAGCAGGCAGTAGATTCACCCTTTGTATTTCTCCTGATGACCATAGATTCTGGTATGGAATGTGAAAAGAAATCTAAAAAATTTGAGAAGTGAGAGGTGTTGCAGTGACAAGTGTCTAAAAGGGAAATATTTCCTCTCACTTCCTATTTTGTCTCTGGGACAGGAAGTGAAGTTCCATTTCCTATTCTATCCAAAACAAAAAAAGGTGTTGGCTTTACAAAAACTTTAAAAAACATCAAAACACCTATAATTCCTTTTTGCACATTGTAAATGGTCTTCAGAGTCAATGTCCCTCCTGTCCCCAGTAAACATTGTTAAATCTGTTAAGAAATGGGTAAATGTTTATATTCCTGTTTTGTGCACTTATCTATATATTCCATGTAATAAAGATATAGTTTCCATATAATAAAAGTCACTTCTTTATATGTTTACAATGTTGACGTGGTTAAATATTTAACATTGATAATAAATATTCATTAAAAATGTGTGAAAGCACGTTCATTCTGCAGTTAAAGGTTATTACTATTGTCCCAAGTTATTGGATCTATTCAAATACTTTTTCTAAGGACTTTGCAGTAAAATTCTGTTTAATATGTTTGCAAAATGTCTGCAGCACATGGCAATGATGGTTCCCCCTCCACACCCCAAGAAGTCACATAAATGTAAGGTACCCCAGATATAACCCAGTCCTTTGAACTCACTGTTACTGGAAAACCTTCAGCATTTATTTGTGAGTATATAAGGTGAACCTACGCTTAGTGGCCCTTTCCGCCCTTCCTAACCAGGGGCACTTGACGTCCAAGACAATAATAATAAGATATGCTGGACACGTGGCTCTTAGTGGACATAATTTACCATGAAGGCATCAAAGTGGAACCTGTAGTCCGTGGTGCATAATGGGTGTTATACTTTTAACTTCTTCCCATTCAGACTTGTACCTGGCAGGCAAAAATCTTACAGCCTTAACTTCCTTTGGTAATCGGTGATGTCACGTGGCATGTGTCATGCCCTTTAGAAACATTCACATTTCACCATGCTCACCAATTACTGTGGCACCATGGCAGTGGCACACTTTTTAATCTATAGAATTCTGCCCTACCTATTATCAAGGGGCTAGTTGGTTGTGTTTGCTTCCCCAGGCCAAAGTCCTCCTCTGGTCCTAACTTTAAGGAGAACTATGAGATTAGTGATTTCCACTCACCTCATAGTTCTAGCCGACCTGTGACAATGAGACTGTCACAGGTCGGCTCAGTAGATCGGGAGGTGAGTGAACACATACCAGGTTCGCTCACCTCTCGATCCTGTCACGGCTCTCTGCCGTGACCGGGGGAGGGCTGGATTCCCCTCTCCGATCTGCCAGCGCTGACTGGCGGAACGGACGGGGGAGGGGGCGGGTACAGCTGGCTCTGCCTCTAGATAGGCAGAGCCAGCTGTCACTCATACAGCTGGGCGGATCCCATCATCTACGTCGGGATCCGCTCCGGCGTCTCAGTATACCGCGAGCTGTAGCTTGCGGTATACTGAGCTTAGGGTAACGGGAGGACGCTAGTTTGTGTCCTCCCGTTAGCCTAAGGAGAACTATGGGGAAAAACACTGACCCCATAGTTCTCCTTTAAAGATAGTTTTAAGAGTTCAGTTGCTTTCATTTTGGTAATTGAAACCTGTATTGAGGGACCATGAAGGCTTCCATTACAAACCTCCTCCAATGTTTAATGTTTTGAGTCACTGAAATAATAGAATATGCAGCATTCAGAGTCGGTTAAAATGAAGTCAACACTCTTGCATATTTGCTCTGGTGCACTACTGTATCTCAGGAAGAACTAAAACTAGTGGATCAGTAAAACAACTAGGCAACTGGCATTTTAAAGGGAGAGATCAGCAGTGGCAGCCCACACATTTCTAAATATAGGTTTCCAACTATAATGTCTGAACCAACAAACACACTCAACAAGTTTCTAGAAGACATGAAGATTAGCCAGGTACTCTCAGAGCAGTAGACCAGGCAGACATGGAAACAGTTCCAAACCTAATTTCTGCAAAATATCCTGCTACTTCTCCATTGTGGTCACTGTATGATTGAAGCCAGGGGTACAGTAACATTCTCCCTATGAATTCCTTTCTATAGAATAATCTCTCCCTTGTTCTAATGTGTCGTATTCTTAACCACTGTGTTTTCTATGTAACCAATTATTGGCTCCATCTTGCCCCACTTTTGGATCCAAAACACTTGTGGCAGGTGGATGGAGTAATGACAGGGTGGGAAAAGGATCCATAGTCTAAATGGTCCAAAAGGGGTAGTACAAGTGTTTGCTGTATAGAATAGGGTCACATGGGGCTTGGGGAACAGGGGTTACAAAAAAAATCTATCCATACTAAGTAATATCATTCAAATATGTGAAGCGGCGATATGATATATTGAATTATATTAATGCAGGCTCATGCAGCTAATTTAAGTGAGCAGCTGTAAGGAGGAACGCCCAGTTTTTTAAGAGTAATCGAGCGCAGAAGTTTCTATAGAAAACATACTAAGTCATTATGTTTCTTCTAAATGGAGCTATGCAAGGCAATCTTCAGCTACTGACACAATAGAATAAGATTCAATGGGCTTTAAAACTTCAATTTGGAACATTGTTCAAGCTGGCTCTCATGTGATAACTGGGCAGGACTGTTTGGAGTTTCAGTGGCAGTGCCAATAGCAGAGGCACTGGGTTGTTAGCTCAATATAGGCCAATAGGAGCTCACTAGAGTTCTGGCAGATCATTGGTTGTTTTTTGTGTATTTGTAACAATTTAAAGAAAAAACATGGGGAAATATGCACATATTGCAGAGATGTACTGAATATTTTTTTTTACTTTACTCATTTACTAACTTTTACTTACACTTTATAGTGATTTGGGACTGATAGAAGCAAACATGTTCTTTTCATTGTCATCACAACAATCTAATTTTTTAAAGAGGATAAGACAAGGAAAAGGCAAGGAAGACCCAAAAAGTGATGGATCCATGACATAGAAGATTGGAAAGGTCTGAGCGTAAGTAGAGGGAGAAGTAGAGGGGGGAAGTAGCCAACAAAACAACAATGGAATCCTAATAAAGACAAAGCTCCATGCAGTATTATGCATGGCTCATCTAAACATGAAAACCTATAAAAGCTAGCAACAATTCCATTGCTTTGAGGGAATATTTTTTTAACTACTATGGTTGACCATCAAGTGCAGTCTAGTTTGTCTACACTGAGCTTAAGTGACATATTTAAGTATTATTAAAATCTTAAACTTTTTTCAATAATGAATCTGGTTCAAATGTACATTGCCCAACTAAGTATTACTTTACATGTTTGCCCAATCACCTACAGTCATCATGTTTACAAATAATCATCTCCAACTCTCTCAGCACCACTTCCATGAACTTCCTGTTGAATAAAAGATCACAAGGGACAGAACAGTCTCCAGCAGCTGTCCATCTACTAGCCTTGAGATGGAAGAAAGGAGGAACAGGGAGCAGAGAGCATGGGAATGGCTTGCCTTTTTGTGGATATGTGTTTGTGGAGACACACATAGCTTAATAACACACACACGGGTGGCTCCGTAGGAACAATGCAAGGTAAAGGAACCACCCTAAAACAAGCTATCAGTGCCATAGCTCAGGAGACAGCTGATTCTGCAGGAGGATAAAACTTTTAACCATCAAGGATCTATTGTAAGTGATTAAATCAGCACTTGAAAAAGCTTATAAAAGCTTTGGACTTTAATGGCACTTTAATTCTATCACTTATTTATTTGCATTTTGTCATTCAAGGCTGCAACATTTGTGTCTGAAATGTATTATGATGAGTGATGCAAAACTGTTGGCATAAATATTTTCTATTTATGTTGATGCTACTGTGTTATCATAACACAAAGTTTATGTAGCATACAAAGACTGGGTTATCACGCAGATAGGTTTCTTGTCTCGTAAAGTTCAGTTTTATTTATTTATAACCAGTATCTTGTTATTAGCCAGCCAATGATTAACAAGGCAATTACATGTTTATAGTTTAATTAATAGGCATATACAGTATCTTAGCATAGAGTAAGACACTCTCCTCGGATCATTCGGACACTTTTGAGTAGTTTTACTAGTTGTAGTTGTTGTAAACTATCTATTAAAAATTTGTAAATATTTTTTTTCTATTACCTATTATTTAAAAGCAAAGGCAGAAAAATAAAAGAATGCATACTAGATTACCATCCCGGTCTGGTCAATATCTACAAGGAGTTTGCATGTTCTCCCTGTGCTTATGTGGGTTTTCTCAGAGTACTCCGGTTTTCTCCCACACTCCAAAGACATGCTGGTAGGTTTATTGGCTTCTCTAAATTTGCCCTTGTATGTATGAATGTGGGATAGGGACCTTAGATTGTAAGCTCCTTGAGGGCAAGGACTGATGTGAATGTGCACTGTGTAAAGCGTTGCGTAAATTGGCGGCGCTATATACAGTAAATGCCTGTAATAAATAAATAAATATAAAGACACGATAAAAAGCTGATGTCACTGACTTACCCTGATTCAAGGCCAAAGCTGGTGCATACACTACTACTCCAGTATAGAGGATCTATAAAAGATTTTATTACAAATAAAAAAATATATACACAGTCATTAAAATTGTGTGTAAACTCTATAAAGACAAAATCAATAGTTTTTCAAACATCTTTGGGTCAGTGTAGTTCAGGCAAAAAGCCTGTTCACTTTGCATGGAAATTTTCCCTTAGCTTAGTGAATGTGGTGAAAATGTACTTTGCAAAAAATACCTAATGAGGTGCAAGGAAAATAAAATAATATTTGCATTTGCACATGATAGGATGATGGAAGTCGGCAGAGATTCACTGCAAATCCTTGCAAAATAAACAGCATATTTGCCTTTAATAAATCAACTTCAATGTGTCTTTCCTTGCATTTAACTATTACATTATTGTGTATTTCATCACATACTAATTAATGAAGGGTTAGTCTGGAAAACCACACTACAACTGTCACCATGGTTTAATGTTAAAACCTAATATGTCTGCAAAAATGCCACTGCTACCATATATGAAGCAAAAAAAAAATGTGTCACCTGAATTGTAGCTATTAATGCTACAGAGGATTAGCTAGTGTTATAGGTCCGTTTAGGGGTTAGGTTAGTGTTCTGCTTAACTTTACATAAATGGCATTTGTCCTGCTATGGTACACTGCACTCTCAAATGAAATGTACAAATGATCAAGGATAGCCGTGCTTTAAAGGTGCACTCATAGACCACATGTGTTTAAATAAAACAATTACATTTATTAATACATAATTAAAATTACATTTCAGGCGCCCAAATACATTTTTCAAAAAGTCTTAATTAAAACAGTTAAAACATCTAAAGAGAAAATTGCCTAGCTAGGAGTGCCAAATGCTCACACCATCCATACTATATATACAATATATA